TCCGAGGAGAAGAGAGAAGGGAAGTTATTCTAAATTCTACGCCCCTCGAATTTTTTTGTTTTTTGTATTTCGTTATTCGAAAAATCAAGGGAGAAGAGAGAAGGGATTTTAGTTTAAATTCCACCCCCCTGAAATCTTGTTTTGTTTTTGTTTTTCATTGTTCGAAAATCAGAGGTGTGGAGACTTTTTACGACGCAATCACGTACAGTAGCATGTTTTTGGCTTGAATATGTTTTTTTGTTGTGGCACGGGCTCGGCCAAGAACCCCATGTCTTGTAGCGGGAGGCTAGGGGAAGCGGCTTCGGCCTGCGAGTACCTGACGCCTCCCATCTCGAGTGCGTGTGGCAAGGGGCTAAGCCGAAAACCCCATGTTTTCTAGTGGAGGCTAGGGAGGCTGCAAGGGGGGGCTTCAAGGGGGGATCAGAGGAAGCTGCAAAGGGAGGTTTCAAGGGGGGCTTGAAAGGGGGGTTTGAGACGCGGGCGTAAACGGCGCGAAGAAGGCCCAGGTACTAGGCCTCTTAAACTGCTCCCGGAAACCCGTACAGGGAGCAGTTTAAGAGGCCTCATAACTGGGCCTGCTTCGCAGAGGTTTCAGGAAGCAGTTTAAGAGGCCTAATAACTGGGCCTTCTTCGCGAGGTTCCAGGGAGCAGTTTAAGAGGCCTAATAGCTGGGCCTGCTTCGCAGGGGTTTCAGGGAGCAGTTTAAGAGGCCTAATAACTGGGCCTTCTTCGCGAGGTTCCAGGGAGCAGTTTAAGAGGCCTAATAACTGGGCCTGCTTCGCAGGGGTTTCAGGGAGCAGTTTAAGAGGCCTAATAACTGGGCCTTCTTCGCGACGTTTCGGCAGCAGTTTGAGAGGCCCACTAACTGGGCCTTCTTCGCGAGGTTCCAGGGAGCAGTTCAAGCGGCCTAATAACTGGGCTTGCTTCGCACGGGTTGCAGGGAGCAGTTTACGAGGCCGAGCACCTGGGCCTTCTTCGCGACGTTTAGGCTCGCGTCTCAAACCTCCCCTTCAGGCCCTCCTTGAAGCCTCCCTGTGAAGCTTCCCTTGAAGCCCCCCCTTCAAGCCCCCCTTGAAGCCCCCCTTGAAGCCCCCCTTCAAGCCCCCCTTGAAGCCCCCCTTGAAGCCCCCCTTGAAGCCCCCCTTGAAGCCCCCCTTCAAGCCCCCCTTCAAGCCCCCCCCTTCAAGCCCCCCTTCAAGCCCCCCTTCAAGCCTTCGACCCTTCGCCTCCCCCCCCTCCCCCCTTCACCCCCCCCTTCAAGCCCCCTTCAAGGGTCCGACCCTTCAGCCCCCCTTCAAGGGGCCCCCCTTCAAGCCCCCCTTCGTACGAAGGGGGCGGGCCCAGCCCCAGGAAGACAGCCCTGAGAAGGAAAGGAAAAAGCCTCAGGAAGGAGACCCAGAGGAGAAGGAAAAAGGCCCTTGCTCGACGGAGAACTACGTGAAAGGCTCAGGAAAAGACAACACCAGGAACTCCTACGCCGTCTTCCAGTTCAAGGACAAGTCCGACCAGTGGAAGTGGAACAGCAAAGTTCTGGTACTTCTTTGACAGCGAGGGAAAAAAGCCACCACACTGATGGGTCAGACGCAGCGTGACAGGAACGGGAAGAAGATCTGCGACGAGCAGTGCAAGAAGATGGAGTCTCGCTTTCTTGGATCATCATGCAAAAGAAAACTTTCCTGGAGCTAGGGGTAGGGACGGATACACCATCCTTTCAGCTTGCTCTGCCAAGCTGACTGTCCTTCTGGCTCTTCAGCCTCACGCTTCTTCTTCTTCTTTCTTTTTTCCTTCTTCACGAAAAGCTGGTGATCTCGTAGAAGATGCTGGGGGCGTCCTTGCTGCTGCTGCTTCCTGTTCCTCCTTCTTTCCCTTTCTCCTGTCCTTTGTTTTTCCTTTGGGCTCCTCTTTTCCTTTGCCTTTTCCTTTCTCCTTCATGTAGTGTTCTTCAGTTTTTGTACAGGAACAGCAGACAGTTTCGTTTGCAGGCAGACTTGGAAAGAGTTTGCACTGAGGTGTGAGTTTGGAGCATGTGTGTTTTCAAGGAAAGAGAGAGTCGAAGCCAGCTTCGTTTCAATCGACTGTCGCTAACTTCGAAGGCGGGGTGGGGTGCTAAACATTCCAGCCTTGTAGGAACACACAGTTTGCAGTGCGTGTTAATGCTCAGGAACAGCCTTGAAACGTCTGTGACGTCTAGGCTCAGAGACAGCTCAGAGACCGGACACAGCCGAGCGGTCACAGGAAAAGTGAGCCGCAGTTCTTTTGTTTCGGACCCCTTAGTAAAGCTCAGGAAAAGGGAGCCGGACTTTCCAGGTTCCTCCTGGGTTTCATCTTGTTCCCTCCAATCGTAGTTCGCTGGCTTACTGTGACTTGTCTGAGTCTTTGGGTTGCCAAAACTTTTTCCCCTTCCATGATCTTGCGGAGTGACAGAGGAAGGGAGGGGAATTGGGCGCCAGAGGGTGGTGCCTGGTTCGGGTTTGGTGCGTGGCGACGGGCAAGCTATTTCTAGATGAACAGAAGCTCGCCTGCTCTTGGGAGTGCCTCGCCCTTCAAGCGGACTACGGAGGATTCTCGCTTCCAGATGGGCCTGAAGCCAGGGAAGTGCCCGTTCGTCTTCTGCTTCATTCTTGACATGGAGGGCAAGCTGCTCCTGCTGCTCATGGTTCAAGGTGATCCCTGCATTCCGGAGCAGTCTGCTGGCGTCAGCTATCTGCAATTTGGACCTTGCCAGCATGACAAAAAAGCATCGCAGAGAAGGAGCAGGACGTCATGAATGCCCAGAAACGAGTCAAGGAGCATGTGCAAGCGGCTGAGCAGCCGATGCACCTTCGATTCAGCTTCTCTTGTACATTGGAACCAGCAGGACCACAATTGCAAACGCTGCCACCGCTACATTGCATCTCCAGCAGCACTTTCTCTCTTTGTCTCTTTGTCTCTTTGTCTCTTTGTCTCTTTGTCTCTTTGTCTCTTTGTCTCTTTGTCTCTTTGTCTCTTTGTCTCTTTGTCTCTTTGTCTCTTTGTCTCTTTGTCTCTTTGTCTCTTTGTCTCTTTGTCTCTTTGTCTCTTTGTCTCTTTCTCTCTTTGTCTCTTTGTCTCTTTGTCTCTTTGTCTCTTTGTCTCTTTGTCTCTCTCTGTCTCTCTCTCTCTTTCTCTCTTTCTCTCTTTCTCTCTCTTCTCTCTCTCTCTCTCTCTCTCTCTCTCGCTCCTCTTATCTCTCTCTCCTCTCTCATCTCTGCTCTCTCTTTCTCTCTCTCTCTTTCTCTCTCTCTCCTCTCCTCTCCTCTCTCCCTCCTCTCTCACTCTCTCTCTCTTCTATCTCTCTCTCTCTCTCTCTCTCTCTCACTTTCTTTCTTTCTTGCTTTCTTTCTTTCTTTCTTTCTTTTGTTGCTTGCTTTCTTTCTTTCTTTCTTTCTTTCTTTCTTTCTTTCTTTTCTTCTTTCTTTCTTCTTTCTTTCTTTCTTTCTTTCTTTCTTTCTTTCTTTCTTTCTTTCTTTCTTTTTCTTGTTGCTTTTTCTTTCTTTCTTCCTTTTTTCTTCTTTCATTCTTGTTTTCTTTCTATCTCTCCTTTTCTCTTTCTCTGTTTCTCTCTCTCTCTTTCTTTCTTTTTTCTTTCTGTCTCTGTTTCTTTCTTTTGGTTGCAGTTTGTTGACTTAAGGTTTCGGGCCAGATACCGCCTCTTTCCTACCGGACCCTGGCCTGGTCGCCTTCCACTCCACTCCACTCCCTTCCACTCCGCTCCACTCTGCTCCACTCCACTCCACTGCGCTGCACTCCACTGCACTCCACTGCGCTCCACTGTGCCCCACACTGCACTCCACTGCACTCCGCTGCTGTCCACTGCACTCCGCCGCTCTCCACTGCACTCCACTGCACTCCACCGCACTCGACTGCGTCTCCACCGCACTCCACTCCACTCCACTCTCCACTCTCCACTCTCCACTCTCCACTCTCCACTCTCCACTCTCCACTCTCCACTCTCCACTCTCCACTCTCCACTCTCCACTCTCCACTCTCCACTCTCCACTCTCCACTCTCCACTCTCCACTCTCCACTCTCCACTCTCCACTCTCCACTCCCCACTCCCCACTCCCCACTCTCCACTCTCCACTCTCCACTCTCCACTCTCCACTCTCCACTCTCCACTCTCCACTCTCCACTCTCCACTCTCCACTCTCCACTCTCCACTCTCCACTCTCCACTCTCCACTCTCCACTCTCCACTCTCCACTCTCCACTCTCCACTCTCCACTCTCCACTCTCCACTCTCCACTCTCCACTCTCCACTCTCCACTCTCCACTCCCCACTCCCCACTCCCCACTCTCCACTCTCCACTCTCCACTCTCCACTCTCCACTCTCCACTCTCCACTCTCCACTCTCCACTCTCCACTCTCCACTCTCCACTCTCCACTCTCCACTCTCCACTCTCCACTCTCCACTCTCCACTCTCCACTCTCCACTCTCCACTCTCCACTCTCCACACTTTCACTCCACTCCACTCCACTCCCCACCTCACCCCACCCCACTCCACTCCGCTCCGCTCCGCTCCACTCCACTTCTTGGTGAGTGCTGTGCATGCCGTTTTCTTTGTAAGATTGAGCCTTGATGCCGTTTAGTTTTGGGCACTGCGGTGGAAGTCTTGCTGGGAAGTCAACGATACCCGTTTAATGTGGTGATTGCTCCCCCAACACTCGTCATCCATCTTGGGGCCTGGCCGGCCTGTTGCTTGCTCCTGGTGTTCGACTTCTCTTTAGGGGTTGGGTGTTTCGTGTGTAGTGTAGGGCTTGAGACACGACATTGTTTTCGTACTCAATGAATGTGTTTTCGCTCACGGAGTCGGATGTGACCCATGAGTCAGTTGCCACACGTTCATGAGCAAGGCTTTTAGGCAACAGCATAGTCTTTTGCAGCCAGCTTCTTTGACAAATGTTTCGAGCAATCTCCACACGCCATTAACTGCAATTGGTTTGTTCAACACTTGTCAGCAACTTCGGTGTATTTGTGCGCCATGGCGGACGATGATGTGGATGTCGAATCGGAGTATGTTTTGTTGGTAAAGCTATTTGGCAGGGATGAGATTTTAGTGGTCGTGCGTGTGTGTGTGTGTGATCCTGTGAACATGTACAGTGCAGAACCGCAAATTACAAATTCTACTGCAGGCGTGATGCCAAAGTGTACCAGGCATGGGGGAGCCCGTTGCAAGTTGGTTCGGAAAATAAGGTCTTTTGCCATGAGTTTGCAGCGAAGTGAGTAGCAGGTACCACCAGCAACCTCGGCTTCCGGCCACAGAGCTGCTGATTGGAAGGCCATGAAACTCAAGAAAGACGGACGGACGCCAACGATGTCAACAATCAATGTCGCAGGAAGCAATTTGGAGAGGGCACGTTCGCATCATTGCACGCGGCAAAACATTGACCATTCGTCGCGCACCCAGGCAAATTTGCTGCGCAAGCACACTGTGCAAGCTTTCTTAAGCAGGGCTGTTGGACAACGGCTCCGACAACTTGTTTGCACAGTGCGCCTGTTGCTCAGACGGGTTGAACAAACAAGACACAATGTTGTCTGAGATTCTTGGGATGCGCATGAAATCACTGAAGCGTTGACTCCAAATAATTGTGAGTGCATCGAGGCGACTGTGTCTTATTGAATGCTGCTGAAACGTCGCATTTGTTACGTTCGGATCGCCGAAGCTGTTTGTGAGCTCGCAAGTCTCTTCTTCTGTTGAGTAGGTCGACGGCATCTTCGTATGTGACCAAGTCAACGGCATTTTCTTGTTTGACTTTGTGAGTGGCGTGCTACCCGATCCCAAACACGACCTGCAAGTGGTCTCTTCATCCACTTTCGTTGGAGGGGACTTCTGTGCATGTCTGCGTTTTACGCCCCAAACTTGCCGTCGCAATACGTGCGGAGAATGTCATCTCGCTTTGTGATGCAGGGCATGCTTGTGCTGTCGTTCACTTGCAGTTGATGTGCGTTGAAAGGCTGCAAGATGCACGGAGATCACGGAAGCTGGAGACGCAAGGAGTACATGGACTGATTGCATGACAGCCTGGGTTGGTGATTGCATGTCACTCCTTGCGTTATGCGGCGTTGGAATGTACCGCCGCGCAACGGAACTGGCACATGCATTTGTCCCTGCTCCCCGTTCGCCTTGTCATTGTCAGCTCGGATGATGGAGCCGCGAAGCGGCCCAGATCATATGTGTCTTTTGGTGGGCATTTGTGTGATCCGTGTGGCTCCCTCACCCTTGCGATGGGCTGCAGAAGCTCAATACGATGCCGCCAGCTTGACAAGTATTGAACGTTTGCTGCACGGACTATACGGTGGAAACGATGACGTGCAATGCGACGTGCGTAGCGAGACTCGGATTTCTTCTTGGCTTCCACGCGCCGTTCCTCCACGGAAGGGGGGCCGAATTGAGAGGTCTCCTCCAATGTCCAGACTGTTTTGCCATACCGAGGAAGCACCAGTTCGAACATGTTGACCGTGTGCGCCCCGAGTATATTCCAATCGAAACGGGACTGCCCAATACCAACGAAGAGGAACGACGACCCTGTGAGTGTGTGAGTTTCTCCTGCCGTTTGGTATTTCCCACATATTTCGAGCCTCGGAAAAGATCCTCGACAAAGGAAAACTACACAGCAACCATCAGAGGCAAATCGGGACATCGATGCGAAGGTTGAGGATTCGCACCCAATTGCAATCTCGATGACGCAATTCCAGCAAGCAATGCATCGAAACAAACATCATTCGACCAAAACGGTTGTCTCGAACAACATGACCGCGAACATCGGTACAAACTCGATCTGCGCCCAATGCCACGGCATGCATAAAATTCCACACATGCACAAAACCACGGCCGTCAGCAGAAGTGGGTTGGCCCCGCGAAGCTTCAACCCTCGACCGCCCATCAGCGCTGGGCCCCGCTGCTTCGGTGAGGGGCAGGACCTCGCCCAGGTCAAGGGCCAGCCTGTTGGCTTGGGTGGACCGACACCGCAAGCTGGCCCCCAGCGCCGTGCCCACGGTTCTGGGGTGGAGCGCGGTATGCCCGGATACGGACGAGGTCGCGCATGCAGGGTACCCTGGCTCCACCGCTCGCCCGCCTCGGGCCCGAGAACCTGCGAGCAAGAAGCATGTGTGGCGCGAGGAGAAAGGTCTTCCACACACGCGACGCCGGTGCTTCGTCATGGACGGGCGCGCTTTGAAACGAGTCGCGGAGCTTTTGCGCTCTCATGAAGGGAGGCCCACATCCTGCAGCGTAGGCACCGGGCGTCGGAGCTCTTCCGCTATAAGTCCACCGTGTCTAAGGCCGGCTGCTGTCGCATTCGCAGCGGCGTCGTGGTCTCCGGCAGTGGCTGGGCAGGTGGGGACATATTCGCTGGAGCGTTCGCTGGAGGTCCGCGCTTGCTGCGGGTCAGTGGCGGCCGCGGCGGCGACCGCTCCGGGCGGTGGCGGGTGGTTGGTGCTCGCGCCAAGCATGGTCCGCAAGACTCCTTGCGGCCGTTGCTGTCGCACTTGCATAAGACTACAAAAGCGTTGCTGCTGCTCAAGTGCGCGGCCCCCGCGGTGCGGTTACTTGCTGTGCACCGTGGCAGACACGGAAGCCCTCGCGGGCAGCCACGATGCTGTGGTGCTGCACTGCCTTGCGCGCCTCCTGTCCAGTGAGGACATGGCAACCCCCCGTGCTACCCTCACTGAGTATGCTGAGGGCGCATGCACCTTTGTGCATGGAAGGATTGGGGCTGCGTCAGGCTGCCGTGCACAGGCACCTGCGTACACCCTGGCGAATGCCACCCTGGCGCGGTCGCAACGATGCTTTGTCAACAACAGGAGCGCGCGGGCGCTTGTAGCAAGGCTGGTAGATGCTGGTAGCAACGTGCGCTCGCGTAAGTGGAGGTTGCGAATTCGCGACGCACTGTGCTCCCGGCCATGCGGCCAATCGCACAAGCCTCTGTCAGTTACCGCTGGCGGGCGCGTGCGCCACTTGCAAGCTCGTCGCATGCACGTCGCATGCATTTCCCTTTCTTCCAGTTAACGGCCGCCGGGCGCTGTACGGACCGTGCTGGCTATACAGAAGACAACCAAGCGATGCTGCGAGACTAGTCGCAAGGGTCCGTGCGCAGTCCGCCTCCTCCCGACGCAGGCCTAAGGTCTCCCGTCGTGGGCCTGTGCATGGCCGGCTATATGTGGCACCGTGCGCAGCGCGTGGTTGGCCCGCGGCGATGCGCACGTATGCGCACGCAGCGAGAAAAAACAACGCACATTGCAAGTCTGGGGACGTGAGGCAGTTGGCTCAAAAAAATTTTTTGCCGGGTGCGCATCCGGCTTGCCGCCCAAGATGATGTGATTTGTGGGTGGGCAATGGATGTGCCGAAAACCACCAGGCCGCGCTCGGGGACAACACATCAGCACCCAGTTCAGCGATTCCTGGTGGGTGCGCCCCTCCGGCATGGCTGTACACCCAAGCCTTGCCATCATCGGAAGCTATGCATGCTATGCCGCTTCCTTCTTGTGCTGCTTGCACCACAGTATCGCGAGCCTCACGTGCACGTTCCCGCGTGGTTAGGACGTACGGGTCATCGAGGAAGGTTAGGAGCCGTTTCGCCCTGGCACAAAAGCGGCATGCTGGAACAGTGCCGTCGCCTTGTTCGCACCCTGGCGTGATATCGCTGCCGTGCCCCCCCGAGTTTGCCCATCAGAGAGGGATCGCCGAAGGCTCGATTTCGAACTTGCCAGACATAGATCGTTCGAAAGAAGAAACTCCCCCGACACCATGGATCCGCCTGGTTGATGGCGCACGCCGGTACAATTTTCTATCAAAAAAAAATCTGTCACTGCAAGTAGGGGAGGCGTGGGTGGTGCAGACAGGGGCGGGCCGGAGAGAAGGGGAGTAGCGGGGGTTTGGGGCAGGGGTTGTTGTAATACCATGTAATACTTGAGGCACGTCGGTATAAAGGCGGTGCATCACTACGACAGCAGGTCGTGGTTGCTGGGAGTGTGTTTTTTATCTTATTTTCCACTTCGTGTTTACAATATGTTTTTTGCGCCTCACTGAAAGCGACCTGTGGGATTGGTCAGACAACGACCTCGTGGCTAGAAACCTGGTGCGGGCGGTGCGGGCACGGCGCAACCGTGATTGCAGTTTGCGAGGTTGTATTTCCTGAGTTTCTTCTCCTCTGCAATCAATACTGTGAACTGTGGAAGTCTAAACCGGGCATTGTTTTTCAAACAAATCATTAGAGGAGAAAAAACATGGAAGTCTATACCGTTCGGCGTTCAATGGGGGGAAATGGATTTGCATATGTAGGGCACTGCGCAAACAAGGCACAAGTGACGCAGGTACCATGAGAAACTGCGAAACGAGCGGAAACCTATTTTCTCCCACTCTTGCTTGTGCCTATAAAGGGCTTCGGTAAAGATACAACTGTACAAGGTACATGCTTTACCTAGAAAGTGGTGTGGGGTCAGCAACTTTCGCACACCCTCCTTAAAGCATGTGCCTCTTGCTGCTCCCCCGTTGGTCGCGCATTGGGCTCAAGATGCGTCACTCAATCTTGCCTTTAAAGCAATACTTGCAAACGGTGATACCTTGGACATCCGTGGCTTGGATCAGTCCGTGACACTTTGGATTTGCATGGAACTTTCGTCCCTTGCGACTCACATAGAGCTTTGCATCTGGGCACTTTTCACCCATGTAGATGAACACCTCTCGGTTTCCAAAATGGATACACTTACAGAGGCATGTGCACACCATCACTGAGAGCGTGATGATGTTCAGAACCACACTGACTACTACGAAGAGCAACCATTGGGTTCCGGTGTCACCCGGTCCATGAGGAATGAGATCCATGAGGTGACTCCCTCAGAGGCCGGTGTCTAGTAACAGCACTGACAAATTGCTTTATGTTCAGCTTTGAGCACTGCTGCGGCTGCCACTTTTTCCAAATGTTGACTGCTCCGATGGTTTGCATGCTGTTCTTTGTAACGTGCTTGTCAAGTCCTTGCTTGTCCAAGGTAACCAACCCGAGCATTTCGCGTGCTTCTTCCATCTCCTTTCCGGTTGTTAAGTGCTTCGTCAAAGCATTCGATGGGTTTTCCGTTCCTTTGATTTTCTGCACGATCACTCTTTTCTCTTTCACAAGCTCTTGAATGTAGAAATGTCCCAGATCAACATGTCGCATTTTCCCAACACCCAATCTCCGTGCAACTTGGATGGCTGCACTACTGTCACAAAACAGTCTTGGCACATCGATCGTCATGCCAAAGTCTTCCACACCTAAGTTCCGCACGAAAACTAGGTCCTGGGCGCACTGAGTTAGGGCTCTGACTTCTGCCTCTCCTGAGCTGGTCGCAGGAGTTCCTTGCTGACTCCGAGCAGAAGTTTCAACCACGGTCCCTCCTAGGACTATTGCCTGCCCACTGGTGCTCTTGCGGTCTTCTCTGTCACCTGCCCAGTCACTGTCGCAATACCCCTGCAGCGGAATCCCTGCAGCTGGTTCGAAGTCTTCACTCATCTTTG